GGTCCCTTCCACAGTGGGGTTGGGCGGGGAGGAAGGAATGTGAATCTTCTGGGGCCAGGGAGATGAAATAGACGTCCTGGCAGGAACTCAGCACTTTCCCTCCATTAAAGTTAACCTGCGAAGGAAGGAGTGCTGTAATGTCATTACCAGCTCTGCGGGAACAGCCATACTCCTTCTTAGAAGGGTTTGCCTTTTAATAAGCCTTGACCCACAATGGGGTGAAGCTGGGTTAAAAGAAGATGAAACACTTTGGGGTGGGCCCTTTGCCCCTACCCTCCATCCGCACTCTTTGCTCAGCAGTAGCATTCCAAGGACTGTCTTAAGGAGTATTCTCCTGTCGCTTGCTGTAAATACTACAGCAGGTAGCATTTAAGTCTGTGAAGGCAACACTTTCAGAAAGAATTTTAAGTACATATTTCCCGGACATTGACTCGAATGACATGAAATCTGAGAAATGAACTGCCATCATCTGGGCGCTCGTTGTGTGCCCTGCTGATAGCGGATTGCACATCTCAATATTTAGCACTTTGGAACTGTGGCACCGGGTCCTTGTCTCTTCCAACAATCATTAAATGTCAAGCCTTGAGAATTGGATCAGTTATAAAATGTAGGGGCTCTTAACCTCAAAAAGCCCATAGAGATATGTGATATGGAGGTAAATACCTAAAGAATCAGTTTTAAAAATGGTGTTAAAGTAGTCACTCTTAGAGGAAGTTGGAAGCGGACAGTTTTTGTTCATTTGTTTTAAAAAGGAGACTTTGTTCAGTTTTTAACTCTTTAAACTAACCTTCTAAACTATTTGACTCTTTAGGCTATATTTGTGTATAATTGTGATAAAAATAAAAACTAAGTAAAACCCTGCAGTGTTTCCCACTCCTGGCCTCCCACTTCCAGTTTTCGGTTGCCGCACGGTCACGGTCACCAACAGAGGCGGCTCCTGGCCCTCCGCTCTGCTCTCCTGCACTGCCTCTGACCACACACAGTGCTGCAGGGATGAGAGGTAAAGATAGAGCCCTGATTGTTTAGCCGAGGCTGGAAAGCTGTATGTTGGCTGCTCCCTGGTCTCCCAGCAAGCTCTGCAAGGAGACTATGTTTCATCACTAAAATGAAGAGTAAAAATATCAGCAGGAATCGAACCTTTAAACAGTTCCAGTGCTGGAGCTGAGCCAGGCCCTAGCCACGTGGGAAGGTGAGGATGTTGCTATTGTTTTTTCAAAAGCTGAGTCTTCTCCAAACTCCTGAGAATTCCTCACATAGGCAGTTATGACCCAATTTCTTAACCTAGAGACTAGATGCAAGGATCAGGCTCCTGGAAACCTTGGCCCCCTTATTTTCCTATCTCAAGTTCGGCCAGTAAGAGTCACATGGGCGTGAGGACTGACATCAGCAAGTCTTTGTCAAAACCTAAACTCTGGTGCAGAAAAATTCAAGTTCAACCTTATACAGAGCCAACTAATTCCCATAATATTTAGAAAGTCATCCCAAGATGGGGTGAAGCCCAGAACTGATCAGACTACATGAATCCTTTACCCGTTC